TCGGAGGCTACAATGTCCATGTAGATGTTAATTTTGCTGTCAAAGATTGATCCGTTTTAGCGAAGACACGTTCTCTGAGGAAAAAGGCCCAAATGGCGGTGACACTTTGCGTTAGTTCCGAAAATCCCGCGATCGGTAAGTATTTGTTCCTACAGAATCTGATGTAGGCATCTTCAATGTGGAACAGAATGCCACGTAGCAGGCCAACATGACGGTGGAACACGTGTGTCGCCAGCTGGGTTTCTACTCGACCGGCAGACAGGCTTGAGCTTCATGTTCACCAGTGTTCATTATGACCTATCTGTTATCTAGTTGATGTAGGCCAAGCTTAAATGTTTGGCGCGATCTGGGAAAGAGTTCCACATACGCCATTCGACGCCCCATGCACAAACCCAGGCTTTGACGGTGTTTGAGACTAGTCAAAAAAAATTCTGTTTTCAAAGTAAAAGACTTATTATTTTCCACCCCCCGACCATGATGAGTGTGCCTACCTCCAGAACTGTGAGATCCAACATCCGCCCCACTCCCACTCTCCTAAATTGAACTTTTCTGGACATATTTTTACTCTCTGATGGTAGTCATGGTAGTACTAGTAGACATGGTACATGTAGGTCACTGTAGAGTAGGGAATGATAATCCTTAAGTTATATGGAGCTCTTTCCCCGATCCATCAATTAGTGCAATTTTTTGCCATCCATTGGTCTAAGAGCATCAGGCCTAGTATTAGTTGATAATACCACCATCAGACTGTGGCCCTTTCATTCTGATTCATGGTTGTGCAAATGTTGTTTCAAAAGGGAAGTTAAGTCTGAGATGTCATCATGTTCATGGAGAATGGACCAATTGCACAGAGTGATCATGCTCAACATATGCATGTGATATACATGATATATAAATAATATGTCTGTAGGATGGTCGCAAGAGATCAAAATTGTTAAATTCAAAATCAAAATTGTCACAAAAATACATGTATGAACCAAATACCTAGCCTAGTGTACTTCTTGGAAACCTGACTATTGTTGACAAATTTATCTTCTATATGACGTTGGTTCTACTGCCCCCCCCGGCAGAAATTGGACAAAACAAAAACAACTGACTCAGGCAAAGATTTCATGAGAGAATCAGTTATGTATTAATCTACACGCAGTTTGGTGTTGCTTCCTTACATGGAGTTACCTGTTTTCACAATTAAGATGTCATTTTAATCTAGGACAATAGTCCAGATATAGCTTTGAAGCTGATATGCCAGACTTGGAAATCTTCATCAGTTTTCACTAGTGATCTGATGGTTCTCTAGTTTCATGGCTGGTTTTGAAAATATGTGTTGAGAATAGATAGTCAAGCCTCAAGGAAATTTCACTTTCAGATTTTCAAGGAAAACCATTAGAGGTGAAGATGGGGACGGGGGACAAAGAATCTGACCTTATTAATTATTCAAGCGAGGTGTTCCAATTCCAACCAATCTCGATAATCCCTACTTGACCTCATGCATTTTTCAAGTCAGGTTTCCCAGTTCCATCTAGTCATGGACCAAGTGTCATTTTTTTAATTATGAAACAGCTGCACTTGTAGCTGCAGAGTACATCAGTGGTGAGGTGAATGTCAGCATCGAGTGGGGCAAGACCACCAGTCTCAAGGTGTCGGAGTAAGTGACTTTTCACAAAGCTTTTCGAAATTTGCTTGTCGTTAGTCTTATATGGTGCTGTATGATGAGGGAATATTTGAGCTTGGTAGTGTTTGAACATAACAGATGCTGTTTTCTAGCTGATAAATTCTGTTTTAAACCTGACCCTGTTAGATGTATTAAAACTCAACAGATAGACTGGTCTGTGGAACCTTGTTGGATTGAGTGCATCAACAGGAGCAGTGTTATTCCACTAGATGAGACTTTCAAGCTGGTTTTTTGGGTCCTAGAGATTTTAGGGATTATTGAAACTGGGAGCAGGCACTTTGACACTTTTGTCACTTTGGTAACCCTGTCAAGGATTAAATGAATAAAAAAGGCTTTACGTTGTGCTGTTTTGGGACTCTAACACAGGCAATTCACAGTACAGTGCACCACCAAGAGAATGCTGTGGAGAGGCTGTTTTCCAAGTTAACAGTCAACAAAAGTGTTCGGAGCAATTATGAAGAGAGTTGGGGGAACAAAATCTGCTCTATGCATGTGCCTCCTACTGGTGCTGTTCCATCCCAAAACAGATGCAAAGCTTTTATTTATTTCCCCTGCAGGGATCTGACATGTACCAACTCTGAGGCCATCTGCCGGTACTTGGCTCGGCTGGTTCCTACCGCTGGACTGTATGGAAGTAATCCTCTGGAAGCAACTGAGGTATGAAGAAATGATACCAAAAAGGTTTACAAAAGGTAGTGAGTCTTTTTGTGTGCATAATGCAGTGTTTCCTTCATAGCAGTTTTCTCAACATTCATTTGTTTGAACATTCCTGAGCTTGTAGGAAATTCAAGTCAGCGTGAAGGACTGTAAGTGGATCAAAACCAAAGAGTGGTTATGGCTGGTCTTAAAACTGAATAAAAAATAAGTACCATTTTACTGTCCAAAAGTTATGCCCTTTTTTCACAATGCAATCAAGATTTATACCAATTTAGAACAAGATTTGTTCTGTGGTTTTGCTACAGGTAAACTTGCATGCTGGCGCTTGCATACATCTACATAGAACAGGCTTGGGGGTGTTTGGTATCAAAACCCTCAAGAACATACTTCTAACTAGCATTTCCCTTTTATAATGCTTGTTGTTTGTAATTTAATTTGTAATTTTTTAAAATTAAAATTAGTAATCCTGTCATCCTATTGTTCTGGAGTAGCTTATGTGCCTGAGGAACAGGACTAGTAATGCAAAGGTAGATTGTAGTAGGGGACCAAAAAAGAGCAAAAAAATAATTTTTTTTAACATTAAGGAGAGCACACCTATTTTTGGATCTCTGTCATTTTCTATTCTTCAAACAGTGTGTAAAAAAAGTGTAGCCTTCACTTTGAAACGGCCGTAAAAGATTACATGTACATGAAAACTTGGAATTCTTTGGCCCTTCCCCCACCTCAAAGAAGAAACACTCTTGGTTCCCTTTGAAACTTTGGTTGTGGATCTGCCCATGTAGTAATGAAGTACTTTTGTTATAAAACACTGCACTGTTATCACTTCAAAGGTTGACCATTGGCTGGACTTCAGCAGCAGCCGCCTTAGTCAAGCGGGGGAATTCCCCGAAGCCATACGCCACCTGGACAGGACTCTGGGTCCTCGCACCTACCTGGTCGGGAAGAGCCTCTCCATAGCTGACCTGGCTGTCTGGGGAACGCTCAGAGGTGAGACGTTCTGTCTAGGAAAGATTGAGTCAAAGACTGGTCTGAAAATTCTGAACCTTCAAGCATTAGGCTTTGAGAATTCAACACTTACATTATAAAAAGCATATGCTAGATGAAAAATGGTTGCGTGAAACAACCATTCCAACTCTGCTTCAGCATTATTAATTGAAGAAAAAAATTTTGTACCAAGTTTCCTCTTTCTGGATGTTATCTGCATTCAGCCTCTTGATGACTGACACGGACTATCTTTTGAAGAATAAAATGGCCCTTCCCAATTTGAATTACTTGGCTTCACCTGTATTGTTCGCTTGGTGCAAAGGGTTGGAAATAACTTGTGACGAGATACATGTGTCTTTACTGCCTGATTTGGCCTAATTTCATGCACATTTAACTGAACCTTGTAGTCTCAGTCTGTTAAAATACGTAAAATTTTAGTAGTTTTTTTGTTTGTATTTCTATTAATCTATTTCAATTGTATTCATATTAATACACTGTAACTTCTATTAGATGTTCTTAGACACTTTTGACTGGAGGGAAGAAGAAAAGTCCTGAATCATTCAAATTTTTTGAATTACATGTATACGTAGACTAACGGCAGACATTATTCATAGTACTGTAATATTCAAAGGGTGCCGAGCCCCTGTAAGATAAAAGTTTCAAGATTTAACCTTGCTTAACGTTGCAAAATTCCAGAAGAGATGGTTTAGATTAACTGCCAAGAACATTAATCCTTACAGTGGCATTGCCTTGCCTTTGTTAACCTTCAAATCCTACAAATAGATGAATTTAGAGCAATTTAGGAGTGTTGGTGTCACATACAACGTACACAGTGTGAAGCCATGTTGTGTACTCAGTTGAGCGGAAGTTCAAATTCACTGAATCTCTCAAGCCTGGTAAATGGTGTCTTTTTTTGCAGGAAGCTCAACATGGACTGGCATGCTGACCAAAGGCCAGGGTCCGACCAACGTGACCCGTTGGTACAAGCTCCTCTCAGCCCAGAGTCAAGTCAAGAAAGTCAGAAGTGGTCTTCCCAGTGCTGGCCCGGCCAATAACCAGGACAAGGCAGTAGGTTGAATAGGATAGTCAGGTGGTACTTGTACATTAGCCTGCCTTGCGCCAGTAACCCAGTGGCTCATTCTTCATGTGTGAAACTTTAAGAAGCATCAGGCTCCAAGTAATGAAAACTACTTTTTCCAACCATGTCACGGGGGGGCATAATCCAAGAACTTGGCTGTCCTACACACGATCTATTTGAAATTGGGCATGCATGTGAAGATACTCATAATAAGTACATCTGTGAAATTTTAATTCAGCCCGACCTAGTATTTTGTTGTTAGGGTCATTTAAAGTTAATGGCTTCAAATGCTAGTCAACCCATGTACATTAAGCATGTCAAAAGTATACATTTTTGGCTCAACTGTCTTGTAAAAATGGGTACTTTGTGAGAAGGTTACAGGTACATGCCCTACTTTCATAATGATCTTAAGACATCACTGAAAAACTCCAAAAGGCTTGGCACAGGAAAAACTTTACTGTGACAATACCACAAGAATGTCGAAGGGGATGGGCAGTTAATAAGCACATAGAGACATTTAGTAATATGCGCTATATGAGAACTGACTATTATTATTTATTATAATTATTTTGTCTCCCCCTCCCCACCTGCACTTTTAGGGTTACAATTGGACTGTTAACCTGAGGATATGTTTAAAATACATTATCATGTAATTGATGCAAGCGTTTTCTTGTCTTAACTGCAACTTTTGTTACCAGGGGAAGCAGGCAGATGTGGGAGGCTTCTTTGACTTGCCAGGGGCTAAGGAGGGCAAGGTAGTGGTTCGATTCCCACCCGAAGCCAGTGGGTGAGTAACTCTGTAAAGAACCTTAAATTCCCTGCATTCTCATTTTTTTAATTTAAAAAGTGAACAGAAAATCTGGGAACCATGTGGCATGTTTGGTGTTTGGGTAATTCCAGAAATTAGGGGTCCAAAAGTGTGACATATTTGTTCTCTGTTACATCTGACCTTTGTTATTTGACATGGAAAAACCACTGGAATTGATTTCAAACTATTACTATTTGTTTGGAAGGTAATTCGCATTAATTCATCACTCTTGGAAATTAGGAAATGTGTTCTGAACTTACAAAACTATATGCCAGATGTGACAGGGACATACACAACACAAAAAAATGGATCCCTAATTTGAATTTCTGGAATTGCCTATACCTGACTGTTTGGTATAGCAGTGCTTGGAATTGTGACGTACTGTACTAAATTTCAGAAGCTGGAGAGTGAGGAATACGTGAACCGGAAATATGTGAGATGTTCATTCAGGTGTGCTATGCATGTACCATTCCCAAACGAGGTGTCAAGGTTGTCAGAAAAACTGTAATTGTCACTGATGAAATGAGGATGATGCAGGAACCTACCATATTCCAAGAGGATAAACTGGGAAGGTTGTGGTGTTTATTTAGGACTGCTAAAATTGTAATGGACTAATAAGAAGTTAGAATTTCCTTCAACACTGCAAAATTTTAGCCCCCAACTAATGTACATTCCACAGTTCTGACCTTAACAGCAATGATTTCTATACACTAACTGGTATTTCAAGTGAGTTTTGAAGTAGTTAACCTCAGTATTTTAATATTCAACAATTTCAAAAATCCCAAATTACCTTGTTTAACCTAATCTTGAGATGATCAATCACTTTGCCGTGCCTTGATCTTACCAAAGAGCCATGATAAAAACCAAGACCTTGAATTCTGGGCACGAGCATGAGGGATTAAAATCACTGGCAGATTCAGAGGAAGTCTTTGATTTTCTTTGGTGATCACAAAGATACCTGCATATAGGCCATGCCAAGGCTGCCCTGCTCAATCAGTATTATCAGGAACACTTCAAGGGAAGGTTGATCATGCGCTTCGACGACACCAACCCGGCGAAGGAAGATAAGGAATTTGAGAAAGTAAGTTCTTGTGGAAAAGATTTTATTCATGCTGTGAGTTGTGGAAGAGATTATGAATTTGTTCGTTGTTTTTTTTTTAAGAAAAGGCAGTGGCCATCTTTAACAGTCAAACATCTGCCCAAGCGGCATTTTAAGATCCTTGGTTGTTTGACAGAGCACAGGACATACATGCATGAGTTGTGCGCAGTCAAAGTGCTGTGGAGCCTCGGCAGTCACTTCTAATTGCCGTCGCTGGGTTGATCTGTGAGTGAGAAATGGATCAACTGCTAAAGCTGACAATGGTGCAACGTATGGTACTCCAATCAAATGAATACATTAGTGTTCTTCACCCAGGTGATTTTGCAGGACGTTGCCATGCTGGGCATCAAGTACGACCATTTCTCCCACACCTCAGACCACTTTGACCTGATCATCCAGTATGCCGATGGGCTCTTAAAGGAAGGGAAGGCGTACGCCGACGACACAGAGGCCGAGCAGATGAAGAAAGAGCGAGAGCAGAGGATCGAGTCCAAGAACAGGCTGAACTGTGAGTCGGACAGATAGAGCATTTGGAGTTTTCCCAGAAGTCTTGTTCATCTCCATGTTAGGCATTGGGTATCAAGTTTATGGGTTTCTACATGTACTTGTATGATCAAGACCCCCAAATCAGAGTAGCACTGTTTCTCACCACAGAGGCATTCCGTTTTTTAATTGGTGGCTGCAGTTTTCCATATTTTCATTTGGGTTTCAACCGTAAATGGGTTCAAAACCTCTGGAGCTTTAGGGGAGGCGGAATTTATGTATTTAGATTGGCTCTGTGCTTGATCCATTGAAGGCACACTGAAGAATCCTAATTCAACAGCCTAGTAAAAAGAACTAGACCTTGTTTCAAACTTATGGCTGTGGCTAGAAAGGACACACTTGCCTGAGGGAGCTACTGGCTAATGGCTACAGAAATGTTTTTGTTGTATAACTACCAGCCACAGCCAGTTAGCTGGGACATGGCATTGCTTTGGCAGTGGTTACAGACTCACATTTTCCTTACATCTAAACCATATTTCCCTTCTGTGACCCCCCCTTAAATTCAAAGCTGGACCCTTGGGCTTTTCAGTTTACAAAATTCAACTTTGGTGTTAATCTGCAGCATTTCTGTGCTGCCTTGACATTCCATTTTAACACCAAAGACAAAACGCATTTTGAATCTGGCCTATGCTACAAGTATGGTCAAGGGTGGTTAAATGACCAATTTAATTATTGCCTTGCTGCAAAAAGAATGCGTCACAGAGCAATAACTGCATTTCTTGAAAACCACCAATGAGCCACTTTGGTATTCAGACAGCACATGGCCAGGTGCAGCATTGTGGGTGCGTGAGGTCTGCCCTATCAACACAGCCACACGCTGACTCACAGGGGTGCTTTGTCCTCAAATGTCCTTGCCTTTTTAAATAATGGACTAGATTATTCAACCTGTAATGATTTTATTCCAATGTAAGTGGATCCTGTCACTCATGTGCAAACCTGTTCCTTTGAACGGCTGATGCTTTCTTGTTTGTTCAGCCGTGGAGAAGAACCTCCAAATGTGGGAGGAGATGAAGAAAGCCACTACCTTCGGCAGGACCTGTTGCCTGAGAGCCAAGATTGACATGCAGTCTAACAACGGATGCATGAGAGACCCCACCATCTTCAGATGTAAGGATGAGCCACATGTCAAGACAGGGACCAAGTACAAGTGAGTGATTCAAGGAAAACTTGCCTTAGCCATCAAATGAGAATCAATTGGGTGAAACAATTTTTTTTAAAGAATATGTAGGATCTTTAGCTCCGTCAATTGAATTTGAAGGATTAATCCATAGTTTTCAGCATCCTTCAAAATCTATCATTTATGAGTATCTTGCTGAGTTGAGGAAGGTGGAGTCTAGCCACTGTTCCTTCACTGTGAGTTTGATGCTTCCTGAATGTATTTGTTGCACAAAGACAGTGCCACTGGATTCTTGTCGGGGTATGGATTTAAGAAAATTCCTAGCAGAAAAAACAAGCATGAGGTCTTAGGAATAAACAACTGGGCCTTTTAGCGTTGATCTGAAATACATTTTAGCTTTCAAATTAAGTTATTGTATGGAAATGAATAGAAATTGATACCATGTGTAAAGATATTAAAGGGACGCAGTGTAAACCAGTATTTACTGGCATATTTGCATCCATTAAAATCCTGTTGACTCTTTCTGTGAGCACTTAGCACAAATATAATTAACTCCTCTGTTTTGCAATAATCCATGGTTGTTCATACCAGGAATACATTGCATTTTAAAATGAAAACTACATTTTATGTTTAGGTAGAATCCATGTCATTCCCTCCCAATGGTTGTTTTTCAGAATTCTACACTGTGCTGAAAGCCGAGGTTGTCTTAAGGACTGATGGGTTAATAGTTTCTTGCGTTAGGTGTGGATAGTGAATAAATTTCTGATTCTTAGATGTACTGTGTGATTTTTCAGGGTCTACCCAACCTATGACTTTGCCTGCCCGATTGTGGACTCAGTCGAGGGTGTGACCCACGCCCTCCGCACAACTGAGTATGCCGACAGGGACGAACAGTACAACTGGTTCTTGGAGAACCTGAGGCTCCGCAACGTGTTCATCTGGGCCTACAGCCGGCTGAACCTACAGCACACAGTGCTGTCCAAGCGCAAGCTGACATGGTTTGTGCAGCAGGGGCTGGTGGATGGATGGTGAGTGGCCGACTCCAGCTTCACAAATTTGGCACTCTGATTTCAACCCTAAAGGAGGGAGAGAAGGGGGTTGTATGATGTCATTGTAGCGCATTCTTTCTCACTGAGCCTTCAGTAGCTCTTTTAGTTATACCTCGCTGTCACTTTGACACAAATTTTGTGAAAATCAGACAGCCTTTTCTTGCACAGAGCCCATTTGTCCCAAGACAGCTCAACCATAAATGTAGCACACGATGTGCCAAATATCGTACCATCGTTTATTTCTTGTGGTATTTTTTTTCATATTTTTCTTGTTTTTTTTATTTGTTCGGTAGGGATGACCCAAGGTTCCCCACAGTCCGCGGTGTGCTGAGGCGAGGAATGACTGTGGAAGGCTTGAAGCTGTTCATTGCAGCTCAGGTAAGCTGTTGGTGTCATTACACACTTTCATTTTTCCCATCACTTTTCTTCTATCTCAACTGACAAGAGGGATTGATTGTTGTTGTTAGAGTATTTTTTCCTTTTTTTGCAGCATTCCCCATATTAACCGTGAAAATTGCACATTCTGCGTGTTGATGGAATATATATTTGTCACATGTAAAAAGTTGTGTTGCTATAAAAATGACATGAACTTTCATGCATGTTGCATGTTAAAACATTACTGTTGTCAGATTAAAAGGTAAATTTGCTACTTCTGAAAGTTTGAACTTTCGATGGGCCTTGAGCGATATGCGGATGCCCCAGAAAATAACCATAATGGCATGTTAACAAATTTTGCTTTCAGTAACTTTTTACAATTTTTAGTGCAGTGCAAATGCTACTGTGGTCCAGTAATTTGGAAATGGCCGTAGCTTGAGTGGTTTAATGATGTGTACACAGGGCAGGAACTTCACGGAGTCATCATGGGCAATTGCTTTGATGCCCCTGGTCTTTGCTTCAATGCCCTTTGAAACATCCCCACAGACAAGTTGATTTTCTAATACAAGTGCCCTTTTCAAATGAGAAATTGCCTGGCCCCTTCAAGGATGAAGTTCCTGCCCTTTGTACGGACATGCACAAGTGATACAAAATTTTGTGTTTTGATCAAGGGTTCGTCACGGTCCGTTGTCATGATGGAATGGGACAAGCTCTGGAGCTTCAATCGCAAGGTCATCGACCCCAAGGTTCCCCGGTTCTCTGCTGTGGTGAAAGCCGAGGCCGTGCCGATCACAGTGATCGGGGCAGTGGAAGACGTCAAAGAAGTGGCTAAACATCCAAAGGTGAGTGGTTGGGTGATTTGGCTGTCCGCTAAGTAGTCTTGTTCAGTGTCAGCTCTCCGTTGGAACACCCAATAGTACTGCAGATGTTGCAGTTAGGGAGCGTTTCATAATTGTTGAAGGTGGTATTTACTGCGGTACCGCTGTTTTTTAGAGACACCGCACTTGTTAACCGAAAGGGCTTAATGCTGGTACCGCAAAAATACAGTGGTACCGCAGTAAATACCGCCTTCTGTAATTATGAAACGTTCCCTTATACGTAGAAGTACTCGGACATCATTTCTTATTCTACCACTGATCAAATAAACCACATATGACATGTACATGTTCTGTGTGGACATGAGGGCTGTCTATAAAGTATGTACACATGGGAAGGAGGATGTTGACGTTGGGTACACATTGTGTTAAGGGGGTCCGAGGCAGGGTGTGAAAACACGCCATCTCTTTTTCAGATACATGTAGTAATACCTAGTTAATCCCTGTGTGTTAAAATGCAGGTGCAAAATGTATAGTTTTCTGCATTAGGTCTTTGTGGTGCACGTTAGTCAGCCATTGGTGTTCTCCAACCATTTTCTTTCTTTTGCTGTAATACAATGCTGTTGAAATGCCATTTGCCGCCTAGAACGAGTCTGTCGGGATGAAGAGAGTGTGGTACAGCAGTAAGGTCATGATTGACCAGGAGGATGCAGCCATCCTCAAGGAAGGCGAGGTCGTGACCTTTGTCAACTGGGGCAACATCATCATCAACCAAATCAGCAAGTAAGTAGCAGATTCAACTGAGAAAAGAACAGGATGTAAGAGTAGAAATAAGGCAATGCACCATTCTTATGTGATTTTCCTTTTTACAAAGACCAGACGAATGCATTGACCATTTACAATCTTTAAAGTGTTCCATTTTATTCCTTTGGTGATGCAAATAACCTTCTCTCTGCCATTTTCTGCTAATAAATTCCCCTATCCAATTGTGACTGTCAAAGTAAAGGAACAGTTCTAGATGAAGAGCAATTTTATTTCACTAAATGGTTACAGTTGTGACACAGTAGTGAAAACGAATCATGTCGCATATCAGTTTGAACATTCTTGATGTAACGATTGCATTATTTCCATTGCAGAGACAGCTCTGGGAAAGTCATTTCCGTCGATGCGAGACTTAATCTGGAAAATCAGGTAATTTAGTTTTTTAAAGAAACACTGATATATGGATTCACCTCCCACGTTATCTGGTTGTCTGATTTTGCTTGGTTAACTGCAGGGCAAACTTGCAGGGCAAACTTGCAGATATATCTGATTGGTGCAATGTTAGTATAATGCGCAGTTGCATTATTTTAGCTTGAGTAAAGTAACATGCAGAAAATGTCTGAGGTGCTGCTGTAATGTTGGGTAATTTAAGGAAACTTTTTTTTAAGGAATAATAAGTTGATGGGGAACTAGTACCTTGAAAACTGGATAGGGGTCTTTGGACAGTAATGGACCAAACCCAAGGTGCGGTCCATTATCCTCACCAGGCCCCAAACAGGATCCTAGTTCAGCGACAACACCTTCACACTTTTCTTCCCATCCATACATACATTTTGTCGTTGGAAAGTCAAAGTAAGTGGAAAATTCACATGTTCCCAGTGATTTTTTTCATCAGGTTGAGTTGAATGTTGTGAAACACCCCACTTGCCTTATCTGTGAAATGTTCCTTGTGCGCACAGCACAAAAATTTCTTTGAATGGAAACTGGCACACACAATGCGTGCGGCACAGTTTGATGGAGAATGCTGCTGAGCTAGTGAGGAGTAAAATTCTGACCATGAAATGCTGACTCCCTGGTTTTATTGCCCATGTGACAGTGATGATTGTTGTGCATGAGGGTAATAGAATCAATAAAATAGAAGTCAAAATTTCATATGAAAGTGGGACAGTGTTTGACACCAGTTTGTGCCTTTATCGTCTGCTAAAACCACGCACGTAACTGGCTCTCCATCAGTAGCAATGGATAAATCGTCTTTTTAGGTAATGCCATCTTTAAAGGTATTTATGGATGGCATTAGAAAGTTTCTATATTCCTCCTGTGTTTTTGAGTTGTCACTTGACATTTCACTCTTGATGTGGACGACTGCAGGACTATAAGAAGACCACAAAGCTGACCTGGCTAGCTGAAACTGAGAGGGCACCCTTGATCCCTGCTGTTATGGTGCGCTTTGAGGACATCATCACCAAGGGAATTCTGGGTAAAGATGATGACTTCAAGAACTTTGTGAACAGAAACTCCAAGGTAATCTACAAAGGCTGGAAAAAAAAGTGGTATTTTAAAAAGGAAATCATAGAGAGAATAATAATTAAATTATAAAATGTTAAATATCTTGATTTTTTCCGTTTTTTTGTCTGATTTGTTTTGGGTTTTTTCTTTGCTTTGTTTGAAGACCATGGTTTTGCATATAATTAATTTCTTCTGTCGTGCTTTTTCCCTAGTTTTTCTTGTTTGTGTGTGCTGTTCATTTTTGTTTGTGTTTTTGCATTTTTTTAAAAATTTTCTCATCATTTACTATGTTTTTATTTAGTTTTACTGTGGCATACTCCGACTTCAAAAATATAAATCTTCTCTTGGAGGTTGTCCGTGCATCTGCTTTTGTACTTTCACCTCCCATATTTTACATTAATATGTGTGACTACTGAAGCTTCACAAATATCTTACTTTGCATTGTTACATTTTGTTTGAAAGTGGTTGGGTAGACTTCTGTCAGCAGTTGTCAAATTAAAGACGGAGATGCCTGTTTAATTCAACCCACTTTATTCCTGATCTTCAGACCGAGACAGTGCTGCTTGGCGACCCAGAACTTGCCAAGTTGAAGAAAGGAGACATCATTCAGCTTCAACGCAAGGGATTCTTTATATGTGATCAGGCTTACGAGGAGCCAAGGCAAGTACTCCAGCTTAACACTTTTCCACTAGATGTGGACTTACTGGTGAAATATAGAGAGACTATTTAAAAACTTAACAGCTTTGCTGCTGAGCTCATGGCGACCACTGAAAGATCCTGTGGGTTGGTGCATTTTCGGTTGATACCCTACACAATGTGGGCATTAACAAGTGCATGCATGCAGTATGTCAGCCTCGTAGGATATCGATGTTGGCAGAGAAAGAGTCGTCTCCTGTAGATTTACCAACTTCATGTTGCCAACTGATTTGACTTGAAGCAAAAGGATAGTGTAAAAGTTGTCCAAAATCTTGTGTAGCTTTCATTAAAATACACATTGTTTTGCTCTTGATTTCTCCCATGCAGCCGGCATAGTGGACGGGCCAGCCCTTGTGTTCTCTTCAATATACCAGATGGACACAAGACAACCTCCAGCTCAAGTAAAGCACAGGAGCCGGCTAAGGTGAGTATATCCGGTTCGTAAGTGACTTCGTCACAAGGCAAATGTGCCACGATTTGCAGGCTCTCATTGGACAATCGCTAAAGCTGTGTTAACTTCCGGTTCCATGGTTCCATGTAAATGGCGATCAATGCATGTAAAACTATGTGCAGTGCACGTGTGCATTGGGCGTGGTTTAAACTGAAGTGAGATCACACTTACGAACCGGATAGGGTGTAAACTATCATTACTGAGTGGTTTCAATATTGGGTATGTGGAGCAGGGTTCTCCACCCTGTAAAAGCAGGTTGATGGCCCACCAAGTTTCGCTTGTCTTCCACCAGGTTTAAAAAGTACGTAACACGCTTGAAAGTGCGGTCGCCAAGTGTACAATTTTGGATGCCACATTGACAAAATCCCAGAATATTTCATCTTCTATATTCTCTTGATGAAAACTCTATAAATTCCTGTACTTACTTACGTATCTTGTTTGAACCCTGTTAATTTGAGCAATGATTACCCTTAAGCAAACTTGATTAGTAACCAAACGTAATTTGCCCAGGTTTAGGACATATGTGATGCTTAAGTTTCATGATGAATGTCCTAAATCATTTGTTGTGCAGTGTGTGCAATAAATGTTGCATAACTGAAGTTACGCCACTCCGTAAATTTTTGTGATGTCAGTTACAGGTCTTTATACTTCCACAGTAACCTTTTCTCTTAATTACGTTTATGTTTGTCCTAACTACATGTAGGCAAAAATAATTTTGGAAGATTTCGTAAGAAATAAGAATCTTCTGAAAATTGTTTATTTCCAAGAGTACCCTACAAAAATCAAAAACTTTCAGCATCCCAGCTGGAAAATGTTAAATAATTTCGACAGTTTCGGCTTAACAAAACATTTCTGGAGCCACTTTCTTATCTAGCACCCCTTTTTTTCACCAATTGCTCAGAATTCTAGCGAAATATTTGTAATCACTGTTTGGTGACAGTTCGTACTTATAGCTGGAATTCTGAACTTAAGAAGCTTAAGATGTATGGGTTGTGGAAAAATCTCTCTCCTTGTTAGATGACATTTTCACAGATTGGGCACCTGCCATCTTTTTTTCTAAATCTCAAAGGATAATAAGAGCAAGAGGCAAGGGAATCCAGTTTCGAGTCCAGGTAACAGACCAGCTGTAAATGGCAATGTGAATGCCCTCATTGGTCAAATCACGGCCCAAGGAGATGCAGTCAGGAAACTAAAGGCAGACAAAGCACCTAAGGTAACCAATTTTTTTTTTTTTTCAGGCGGACCGATAAATAGATGTTTTTGTTAATTCCCCTCCCATTTGCCACTTTCCACCCAGGGTTAAAGCTTGGTTGCCAGCATTATCTGGGGAGCAACCTGAGATAGACTGGCATCTCATCGAGGGTGGAATAAAAATATTTTCTGTCGTTTCTTGCATCTGAGACTGGAAATGAATGCCAGACAGATGAGTCGTTTTGGCTTGTGACAGACATCTGTGGGCATTGCGAAGGGGAGAGGCAAGGGAGCAGGGGAGCATTTCTCCCCCCTTTGCAAAAAAATTTTGAAAACTTAAAAAAAGGGGAAGGCAAAAAAAATGAAGAAAAGAGATAAAAGGGACTGAAAACCACTGAAGTGCTTGAAAAAACTTCAAAATTTCCCCCACCCAGTGTGAATGATTTATCATTTTGTAGCTGATGATTGCTTTAATCCCCTGAAATGAAAAAAAGTGTTATCTCTAAAATTTTGTAGGTGAGAAGTCTAATAAGGAACAGACTTTCAAATCTGGTAAAAACTACCTCTTAGACCATTTTTTTAATTTCAAGTAAAAGTTGTCTTTTAATCGAAAATGAATCGTGTAAAAAACCTAGGACTTTTTTTTGACAGGAAACGGTAGATGCTGAAGTTAAAACTCTCCTCTGCCTTAAAGCTGACTACAAAGCCCTGACCGGCAGTGACTACAAGCCCCCTGGGGGTGGTCAAAAGGCAGACAAGAAGGGGGATAAGAAGGCCAACAAGCAGAAGGAGAAGGGGGCAGAGCCTAAGAAAGCCAAGGAAGAGATCAAGGAGGCAGCAGCAGTAGGGGCAGACAAGAAACAGACCAGGCTGGGCCTGGAGGTCAAGAAAGACGAGAATCTGAGCGAGTGGTACTCACAGGTAATGTGACTCGGGTACCATTCAGGGCCATTCAAGTGAGCCGGTAAGAGGGTGCTACTACTCGGAAGACTCAAGGAATAGCTCCCATTAGGATCTTGGCCCAATGTTGCATTAAAAATCTCCACCTTCTATAAAATTTACAGAAGGAATCCATTTTTGATCACATTCCCAGAATCTGTTTTATAAATTGTGAACCACTGATGTAAATGGTATCAGACTATTGTATGAATCACTCTTTCCAGGCTTCCCTTTTAGTATGTTTTAAACCTAGTTTGGGTACTAAGGCCTGTTTAATGACAACCGTGAAATTATTCATCGTAATAGACAGATACCAATTTCATATGAAATTTATTTTAATTCTTTTATTTCTACTCTCAAGTTCCGAAACTGAACAGTTAACCCCCCTTTCAATTTTAAAACCCAACCCATGAATAAAGTCTATAACAGAAAACTCTGCATTCCAAGTAAGCATATTTCCCAGGTTAGTTAGGTAATTTGGCTTGAACATGTTCATACATCCCTCAACTAAAAACCGTGTTTGTTGTAGGATTGACATGTTCTGTCTGTGCCTGAACTGTAAATATGCACTGATGATCCTAAGCAGAGAATTTCATGAAAATCGGCGTGAAATAGGGCCCAGAGTAACACCTTCAGTACCAGCACGGAGTTCACTTGACAAGCAGCCCCTGTATTTGTTGAGATCACTAAATCATGCAAAAGACTAGTCACATGGCCAGTCACACATCACAGGGCAAATAATGGCAAAGGAGTCCCCATTTTGCCACTTCATTTGAATGGCTTGTGACTTGAATTTAGCCTAGAGGTCTTGTGTTGGTCTTGTGGAGTCTTGTATTGGTCATTAGGAGTGTCATCTACAACACTAAACAGAGCCACACACAGACCCCCAAACAACTTAAGCAGTAAGTAGTTTCTCACCCAGCTCATTCGATAGGACTTTCTGTTCTGTGGCCAGGTCATCACCAAGGCAGAGATGATCGAGTACTACGACGTCAGTGGCTGTTACGTCCTGCGTCCATGGTCCTATGCCATCTGGGAAGCCGTCAAGGAGTATTTTGATGGCTGCATCAAGAAGCTGGGGGTGGAGAACTGCTACTTCCCCATGTTTGTTTCACAGGCTGCACTGCAACGTGAGAAGGACCACATAGCTGACTTCTCCCCTGAGGTAAGTCAGATCAGACCAATAGTTTTAAGGGCCCAGTTGCGCTGATGTCATAGTGAACATGAAAACCAGAAGATCAGTGTGTGCCAATCTTACATACCTTTTGTTGACCTGTGAACACAAAAGAGGTCCACATAATGCAGCTTTATGAACCTTGTGTGGACTAAAGCTAAATCCACAGTGGCTTACCCCTTCTGGAAAATAGCTTTAAAGGCTTTTTGGGTTAGGGTTATCCACAGCAAAAGGAAGAAGAACAGGGAAAGAAACTTATCAACAAAATCCAGTTTAAAAGAGATGCAAAAAAACTGAGTATTTCCAGGAGTTATCAACTCAAAAACAAAGGAATGGAGGTTTCTATAACTTTCAGAATCTGAAGGCAGAGATCAAGCCACATTTGAAACAAACCCCACCAGGTCAGAGAATTAAATATTCAGTTGGCTGGAAAAAATGCCCTGCTTTTCACATGTACAGTTGTGTTGTCTTAAGTTGTTGACGTTATGGTGAATAAATATGTAATTACAGCTTGTACCAGAAAAAAGCAAGTTTTTTGTTTTGGTTTATGGTTTTGTTGAACACTGCACATATCACAAGGTACATTACATGAATTGGAATTGTGGTTCTAACTTTCAAACACTTCTCAGTTATTAAGTTTAGTAAAAGTTACATAAATTGTCTTGCACGTATATTGTGGACCCTTTTAAACTTCAAACTCCTTTAATATTGGAGCCTGCTACATGGTTACTTTATGCACTTACATCTGAACTACAACATGGAAAGTGCACTGCATTAACACCCATGTTAGGGAAATCATTTCTTCTTTCTGAAATTGAAAATGTATTTAAGTGGCTTTCTTAGTTCAAATATTTGCATTCATTTCTTTCTCCAAGGTTGCCTGGGTGACCAAGTCAGGCAGCTCTGAAATGGCCGAACCAATTGCCATCCGCCCTACCAGTGAGACAGGTCAGTCATACCGACATAATAATGTAGTCACGAGCTCTAAATACCTTGTGCATATTCACGAGCCTGAAGGCTTCTTTCTTTGACCAATAGTCCCAGAAGGGAAGTGTGCGTAAAGGCATACAGCCGTCCCCTTTACATATTCTTAATATCTTTGGCATCTGGCCTGTATTATAATTGACATTTTACAATACTCTGAAAAAATATCTTAGCAAGTATTGTTCCCAAACTACCAACTTATGTTTTTTACACCCAATCAGCCTTCTCCAGCATTTTGCCGGAGAAACTAGTCAAAATATTGATGGGTTTCCTCCTGGACTGTAGTGTCGGTGTAGGGTCGAACTCAACAGGACATAAAAGTCATAGACAAAAGGGATTGGAGCAACAGTTAGTTATTGCAAGTTTGTAGCATGCAACAGAAGTTATCGTCCCTTTCATTTTGCAGTGATGTACCCTACCTATGCCAAATGGGTCCAGTCCCACAGGGATCTTCCCATCAAACTCAACCAGTGGTGCAACGTTGTGGTATGTACATCACCCCACCTGATTCACTGACGAGTTTGCATGTTTTCTGATTTAGTTGTACTCTGAAAGAGACTTGTTGATGCAAGTGTGTGAGGGTAGTTCAGAGTCCAGAAAGTATGAAATGAACAAAAAATCATTCATGGTGAGCATGCTGTGCTTGCTCAACCCCAACTCCACTTGTACTTTTTGTCAAGATATGTGACCCGCCATCCCAGAACCAGGCTGTAGTAGGTTGATGTTTGAAGATTTCTGTCCCACACAGAATGATCCACTTTATTTTAATGTTTGAAGTTTTGGATTTTGCATGTACACAAGTATGTTGGTTGCATTTTCCAGATAGTGGCTTAAAATTTTTCCGTCTGGCTGTGGAATGTTGGGCCATATATTAGAGACGACAATTTGTGTTTCATGTTTCATTTGAAACTTGGATTTCAAATTACCTCCTGTGAGAAGAGAATAACCCTGTGGGTGTTTAATGCCTTTATTCTCCAACACATAGACCTGTGAAAGACCTGGGTATTTGTCAAAAGTGAACAGGACCCGACAAGGGTTAGCAAATATCAGCGATTCCCTGCCCTTTTCATTGAAATCTTAGCTTAATGGGCTCAGTGCATCAGTTGTTGAGGACACCATTCAGCTTTTTATGTTCAAATATGACTGATTAATTATTAAATGTATGAAATATTCATGTTCATATATTTTCAAATACAAATATTCAGAGTTGAAAAACAATGAAATAAAAAAGTCAATTATTTGGTTACAAAAATGCATTCTACACGTGTATTTCAAGTTACAAGTAAACTTCAAGGCAGTTGATGCAATATGCCCCCACTTTAAGGCCAAAAAATCATGTTTCCTTCCATTTTTTTCTTTTTGTGGTGTGTTGTCTCAGTGGGACAAATGACAAATCAGAACTGAACCTTGGCTGGACTCCTAGCATCCTTAAACTTTGCCAAGGACTCCTGTCCTGAAACTCAACTAGTTAGACCACCACACAAACATGCATACATGGTCTTTTGTTTCTGCTATTGTGGGAAATTGGTATAACTGATTATTTGATGGATCAGGAAGGTCGACTATTTGAATATTCAAGCATTCAAATTAACCAGCAATTTTATTCATATGTGATTATTGTACATATGATTCTTTTCCCTTTGAATTTTAAAGATTGTTCTGGGATTGAAATGTCAGGCCCTCAAAGTTTTTGTGTAAATGATACTCATGTACTCACTTCCACAAGGGGGCCATCTTGCCATCAAAGAAGGCAGCTGTTTTCTAGATCACAAAGAAATTTATGTCTTTGTACTTCTGGTCTCTTGCATCAGAGGTGGGAGTTTAAACACCCACAACCCTTCTTGCGGACTCGCGAGTTCCTCTGGCAAGAGGGCCACACGGCCTGGTCCAATCGCCCTGACGCTGAGGAGGAAGTGTACACCATCCTGGGCCACTATGCTGAGGTCTATGAGGACCTCCTGGCCATCCCTGTGGTGCGCGGAAGGAAAACCGAGAAGGAGAAGTTTGCCGGCGGGGACTTCACCACCACCGTGGAGGCATTCATCTCGGCCAGTGGCAGAGCCATCCAGGTAATTCAAAGGACAACGAGTACAGTACAGCACTGCTATAACAAACATGATGCGGTCCACAAAAATTGCTCAAGGTAACGGTCGTTCAGTCTAGCAATTTTCGGTCGCTGGTTCACCCACCTCCTGCCCAACCAGCACTTCCCTGAAAGATTGATTAGTCTACCCCATAAAAGTAAGTTGAAAATAACCCTAACACTCCTCAGTCCTCCAACAGGTGAAGGATTGAGGAGGGTTAGGGTTAATAAAGTCATTATCATGACCCAAATGTATTTCTTTTATTTAAAGCATTTTTAATTTTCGGTTAAAGTATGCAGAAAATTTGAGCACCAATGGGAATGTTCGATATACGAAATGTTGATTATGGCATCTTTTTTCTTCATAGTGGTTTTGTACTGTACTAGTGTACGTTTACCAGTCACATTCCATATCTGTAGTGTGTCACATTAGTCTGTCTCATTTGCTGAATAAGATAATGCCATGTGTGGATTACACAAGAGAACCAAGATGCTTTATTCTCTTGTACTAAGGGATTAGTCCATCAGACATCCAAAAATGTTGACAGCAGTTTACATTTATGTTCTGCTAAGATTTGATACTTGTGTTCAAGACACTGCATTGTAAACGTATCTAAAATCATTCCAGCTCCCTATCAGGTTTGCTGCTTAAAATTTCCCTTTTAAGCACAAATAGCAGACTGGGCAAACCACTCATACAACAATTGGCAACGGACGTTTGGATCGAAGCTTCATACCATAAAGCTGCAGCAGAGTCCACTATGTAGAACTAGTTTGTCCAAGGCACATGTAACATTCTCTTTTGTAACATCTTTCTTTTCCTAAATTAACTATGTAAATCTGTCAGCATTCCTTAAACCATCCTAGCTCCCTCAGAGGCGTGCTACTTGAAGCATCTGTTTCAAGCACAAATAATTATTCTGGCAGACCATCTTGCCCTATGACACCCATGCAACGATCCCACAGACTGGACTCAAACTTTCAAGTCCTCTGAATTAACAACTGATCTTATGATTAAACTTGACAACACAAGGCTGCATCAGTCCTCTGTATGGAACTAGTTTGGCCAAGGTGCATATTATGTCTCCACCTTGAAGCTTCCTTTCGCTGCAAGGATTGCTATCCTTAAACATTGCATTGTGAATTTGATCCCATTCTTTTGGATGGTTTCTAGGGTGCTACATCTCATCATTTGGGGCAGAATTTCTCCAAGATATTTGAAATCAAGTTTGAAGATCCTAACAACGTAAGTGATATCCTTGCATCCTTCCAATTCAGTTAAATAGTAGACTAACCTTATCTATTGGTCAAATTATGCGCTGTGTCTGGATTATATTTTTCATGAAAACCTACAAGGGCACTAATTAGTCCTGCAGATTTTTAATACTGTATGGCAGGTTTCTATAAAATCCCCAAGCAGTGTCATCAAATCTGTTTGATCTGTGTAAAAGAGGTCTTTTTTCCTTTTGGGTTTTATTCCAAGAGAAAAGATATCCTAAAAATAGACCTCTGAGTCAGAGAAGATTAAGTTATTTAGAATTTCTTTTTTCATTGAATCTGATAACAGGAGGGCACTCACGAGTTTGCTTACCAGAATTCGTGGGGTATCACGACTCGGACCATCGGGGTCCTGTGCCTTGTCCATGGGGACGACAAGGGATTGGTGCTGCCTCCCAGGGTGGCCTGCATACAGGTAAGGCAGTAGGCAGGGTTGAACTGATTTTGCAGTCGAAGATGTCTGCGATCTGAAACATGCATTGGTAACAAATGTCAGATTTGAGTCATCTTCTGGCAACATCGATGTTTTTCGACGTGTGATATGTATGGTGTACAGTACATACAGTGCAACAATGTTATCTTGGCTGGGTTTCATAGACTTGTTTCCACATTTCCATCATAACTTCTTTGGCTATGACGCTGCGCAGTGGGAAGCAGCGCATCATTGCTTCAATTCATTGAGTATTGTGCACGTTTTTCACCACAGAGTAAGCGAAACGCTAAGGCAACTTGTGATGATAATGGAAGTTTCTTTTGAAAAATTGTGAATGTAAGTAGGAGAACATGTAAATACAAGTGTTTTGACATGAAAAAGTTGTAATACATTCTTTTTGCTAGACAGATTTTCATTTTTGCGTGAAACCAGATTATCATTGTGCCGTGTGGAATCACCAAGACAACCACCAATGAGATGAAAGAGACGCTGCTCAGCAAGTGTGACGAATACTTTGACAAGTTCAAAGCGGCGGGGATCAAAGTGCGCAAAGACTACCGAGACAACTACAGTCCTGGGTGGAAGTTCAACCACTGGGAGCTCAAGGTCAGTTGATCACACTGGTGAGAGGTTTTATTAATGGAATAAGCGAATCTTGGCACCACGGCAGTGGTGGAAGGACTGTGTTAGTTGTATAGAAAAAACTGCGTAGGTCAGTTATTTTGTATTACTATTCTTCATACATATTCATGATTGAGAGCTGAACTCTCACTGGTCCATTCAGTGTCACATGCCAGTTGCTATTTTTGCGGTTTGTCAGGTGCACGCAAGGATTTGTGCTCAAGTCAAACATGCAGTTTTCACCAGGGAAACTATTTTGTCAATTTCCAGTACCTCAGGGATCTAATTTTAACTAAGGTGAAAGGTGATTTGAAGACGAATGTAAAAATGTCTTAAAATTGTGATAACCACAGAAAAATGTCCTGAATCATAAATCTTGAGGTTCATGTCAGTGAGACAGATTTGTATTAACTTGCTTGATGGCAACAATTGTTAATTTGAGTAGGGTGTGCCCATACGTGTGGAACTGGGCCCTCGTGACGTGAAGAAAGGAGAGATTGTCATGGTTTGCCGCGATACGGGGGAAAAAGTTACCTACAAAGAGAGCGAGGCAGTTAGCAAAGCCAAGGAGATGTTGGAAGATATTCACCACCGGCTCTATGAAAAGTAAGTCTCAATTTAGTATTCAGAATGGAAAATGCATGCTTGTCTGCATCCATATGCCATGCTCAGGGCTGTCTGAAAGTTTGGCAATTGATTTTATTCAATCAGAAGTGAGCGGAAAGTAGTTTGAAAACAATTTGATGAATGTTTTTCAGAAAAGCACTGAAAAAATTGTTCAAAATGTGGTTGTTACCATCCCAATGAGCTCCATTTCGGTAAGGGGACAAAAATCTGCTTCTTGGGACTCGTTTTTTTGATGAGTTGACTTTTTCACTCAACAGGGCGAGCAAGGACTTGAAGGACCACCTGAAGGTGACCACGAGTTGGGATGAATTCTGCTCATATCTTGACCTGAAAAATGTGAGCTGTTTTCTTGTTTTTGTGATTGAAGGGGACATAAGGTGAAACTTGGCTCCAACGTGGACAGCAATTCGTTCTTTTGACTGAATACATGAAATTTTTGTTGACGCTTCATCTTCCTTGTCTTGTTATACCGCTTCCGCACGTTCCGAAACAGTTTTACCGAAACTGTGTAGCAGAGTGCGAAATTAGACCAAAAAAGTGCTCGGACAAAATGTCATTCATCATCAATTTTGTTCTGCCATTACCAGCTTTTTATCTGCCATATTATATAAAAGGTAGAGTTGTAACATGCAGTGTCAGGGGTCGAAATTAACTTTTTTCCCTTGTCCTGCTAGAACTGCACATGCAGCTTCATTGAGCAATCCTTGTTAGGGCGCAAGCCGAGACGATTTTTTTTTTTAGTTTTTCCGATCGGGTAGGTCATGCCATAAATCTGCTTGCTCGAATTGGATCAACACTTGCCAAAGATTTCTCAGAATCCACAATTATTGTTATTTAATTAAGGCCTACTGCATACATGCAGTCTTTTATTTGGCCCAAAAAATACACGATGTAGTTGTGCTGTGCATGCCTCTCAAAAATTGGGTCGGTAGGTCGGAACAATTTTTTGTTTGAGGGCAATTTTGAGCTGATTTAATGGCATCATTGGGGACGACAGCCTCCAAAATTATCTCAGAAAGTGATGAACACCTGTCTTAATGTCTATGTAAAAATTTCTACATACGACAATTCACAAGAAAATTATGAACAATTCACACAGTCATGACGGCAAACTGGCCAACAATGTCCGTGTATCGCGTGGTAAGCGTGCGTGATGCATCTAGACCAGCAGGTGCTAAATCTTGTACCATGAGCAGAACAAATTACACTTATGAATGCAGAAAATACATATATAAATTAGAGACCAAGTTCTGTGAATTAACTTGCAGAAAACCTCAGGCAACATGCATGTACATGTAACATCGATGTCTTTTCCGGCCTGCAGCCTTTTTGCATTCGCAACGTTTACGGCCGATGAAGAGTGTTTATGTACAGTACATTCAATACATGTACAGTACAGACTGGTACTGGTTGCTACATTTCCATCACACATTCTTTTGCATGGGTGCGGCGCGGTGGGAACCAGAGCAGCTTGTTTAATGCATAGAGTTTCGCGCACATGTTTTCGCCACTGGGACAGCGCAAAGTATTATGGGGCGATTTCATGTCTACGCAAGTTAAGTATGTACACGTGGGGCTAGGTGACATGGGCCTGTGATGAGCGATCAGCCCTGATGAATACCTTGGGCATTAATTAAATTCTAACACAAAACTAATAATAAATCGGATGCCATAATTCCACGTATTGTGTTGACATTTAAGAGCTGTTATTGATATGTTGGTCGGACAATTTGTTAGAGCATCTTTGAATTTGTTCGGACAAACACAATAAGTGCTCGGAAAATGACCGATGTCCGACTGTAATTTCACGCTATGGTATAGCAAATGACATTCTCATGCAAACTAAGACATCATTGTACAAAGAAAACCTTCAGATTTCTCACCCAAACAACATTACAATGAATTGGAAGTGAGGAAAAGGAATTTAAGTCGAAGACCATCACTTAAGAGGGCACACAACAAACTCTGTCTCAACCATTGTTTCTCATCAGGACAGTATTTACATGTATCCCCAACCTTTCTTGCCATAAAATGACTGAAAATATATGTTCTCCAAGTGAAGCCATGTAACTTTCGAAAGTAGAGAAGCAAGCTGGGGGGTAGAACCAGTAGGTTGCACTTCCACTGTGACACTACTGTTCAAAATACATGTACGTGTACACAAAATGCATGAAAGATTAATTGTTGACTTTTCGGATGGGTCCATTTTAGCATCGGGTACAAATTTTCCATTCTCGCTTACGCGAGCCTTTGTATTACCAATTTCCCTCATCAGTCCGTCTGTCCGGCCGTCCTCAAATGTAAAAGTTTTTCCTTGCAGGTCCACAGGTGTTAAAATGTGCCATTGAGTGTTTGTTTGCTTCCTCTTGGAATTCGACCAGTATTTAAATAGTCTCATATGGCATTAATGCATAGACGCTTGTATTTGTAAAAATCTAAGATATGGGGGGGGACTCCAAGTGACAGATTAGAATGTTTGTTGGGGGAGGGGTATCTTAAGGAGGAAGATCATGGGGACAATGTACATGTATGTGCATGTAGAAAGTGGATGAAATGCTGGATATGGTTGGTGTAATGGCTGAGCTGGATCAGTGGGATAATGGGACAGCCAGAGTAAGAAGTGAAGGAAATGATGGGGAGGGGGCAGAGTTTGAAATGGATAGGATGATGGGGAGGGGTGGAGTAGGAAATGGATAGGATGATGGGGAGGGG